ACCTGTGCTTGTTCTGAAGAAAGGTGGTCTCATGAAATGGAAACCTCCGGGCCAATAGTCATACTTGCTTTTGAGGTTGTTTGGAAAGATCCTTCTATCCCGTAGGTCTTCCACATAAGAATGTAACAAATCACTTGCAGGGTCAGACCAGTGGTCCATCTAATTCAGCATCCCATTTCACATCACGACTAACCCAGTTGCCCTGGGGAGGCCACCAAACAGGGCATAGAAACCCCAGACCTTCGCTTAATGTTTTCTCCTCACACTGGGATTGAGAGGCTTACCGCCTCCAGATGTGGAGTCCCTTTAGTTGTCATGGTTGGTAGCCACTGATGATTATTCCTCCATACTTCTTTCACCCAAAGAGTGATTAACACATGGAATTCACTGCCGCGGGAGGTGGTGGCGGCGGCGGCTACAAGCATAGACGGCTTCAAGAGGGAATTGGAGGAGCATATGGAGCAGAGGTCCATCAGTGGCTATTAGCCACAAGGTATAGATAGGAATGGGGGGGGGGACATGTTGGGAATGGGGCGGGGAGCTGATCCACCTGCAACTTGTTTAGAGATGTAAAATCTCTGGAGATTTTGAACCCATTTGAATTTGGAAAAGTTCGGGAGGGAATTGAAATATCTACATTCCTTTTCTTCCTGTCTTTGAAACCATTCTGTAGGTTCTGCTTGCATATTGCCTCTTTTCGAATGCTGTGACAGATATCTTTCAGCCTTTGTGGTTTTGCTTGTCCTGTGGTGTTGGGGGGGGGGCGTGTTTTAAAACGTAAAGGGGGGTATATGATGACGGTGCGCTTCACGATCAAAGCAGCAGTGACACTTTTATCAGAGTACCTCTTCTTGACTTAAAAAACCAAAAAAAACCTCAGGTTCTGAAAACGAATCCGCTGCAAGAAATCCTTCTCTATCCACTCGTAAACATACCAGAAAGAGGCCCGCAACTGAAGCCCTTTTTAAAGATTTCCTGCCTTAATCCACTTAGGAGAAGGAATGTTCCTTGGAGTTTGTCCCGAACACCTGTGAAGAGGGACGAAATGATCGGTGCTTCCCCCATGCAGAATGGCATAACATTCTTGACTCCCCCGCCTCCTATTTTGCTTCTCAGTGTAATTTTAGATTTGGAGGGAGAGGACGAACCTTTCAGCTCTGAGCCTACAGAACACAATGGCCTGTATTGCTCTAATAAATACACGTAAAGGGGGAGTTGTTTAGTTAACTGGGTTTCTTAAATCCCATCTGATGTTCAGTAGGTAAACTTTGGAGCTGTTTCCTTTTTAAACTAGTTCTTGGCAGCTGACGACCTGCATGTAGCAAGGCCCTGTCGTTCACAAATAGCTAAAATAGATTTATGACGTGGTACTTGTCGTACAGCTAGTGACAGGAATTCATCTGAGAATTAGGTCACGGTTCTGGGTTGGTAACCAGCCGTGAAAAGCTGAAGTGGCACCTGATGGACACCCTATTTCAGGCTTGTTTTCCAGTGCTTTGCGTTGAGGAGGACTGAATACTAGGCCTTGAGAATGTTCCGCTGAAGTCATGTTCCGTCCACAGAAACAGAAGTAGGTTAGATGTGAAAAAGAGGAGATCTGTGAGACCACCAAAGCCCTATTAACCCTTTCCTTCCCTTCCCCTCCCTAACTCTGCTTCTCTTCTTCCCCTTACCCCTGCCAAGCACCATTCGGGATTGCTGTGGCAACCAATGTTCCTTCTAAGCTGTGATCTTGTGAGCAAAAATTCTACTTTGTGAGCCACTGGCATTAAAGTTGTGAGCGAGCGAGAATGTGCCATGTATGAGGATTTCAGTGCATTGTACATGACATCCCATAACAGGAGATACTGTCAGGATAGACAGGTTGCTTACCTGTAACTGGTGATCTTCGAGTGGTCATCTGTGCATTCACACCCTTGGGAATATACTGCGCCTGCGCTGACCTTCTCGGTACCGGTAGCTAGCAAAAGGGATTTTCGCGCCTCTCCCAGGTCACGCGCCGGCTCCACTGCGCATGACCAAGGAGGGGCACGCAGATCCCGCCAGTTCCTTCTGACCGCCGCCCAACAGCCTTCAAAGAAACAAGATGAAGGGCCGAGAGCAGAGGGGAAGGAGGGCGGGTGGTGTGAATGCACAGATGACCACTCGAAGATCACCAGTTACAGGTAAGCAACCTGTCTATCTTCTTCGTGGTCTCTGTGCATCACACCCTTGGGAGAATAGCAAGCAATAACTCTTACCTGGAGGAGGGGCCGAGGCCCTACATCTGCGCCGTCTGCAATATAGACCGACCCAACGCCACACGACGAGAAGACCGGACATCAAGGGCATAATGCTTCACGAAGGTGAGCGGAGTAGCCCAAGTCGCAGCGTTGCAGATGTCCTCCAACGGCATACCTCGCAGGAAAGCTGTGGAAGTTGCTACCGCCCTCGTAGAATGGGCGCGAAGCTGACCTGGAAGAGGTTTCTTAGCCAAAGCGTAGCATAGCTTGATCACCTCCACAATCCATCTCGACAGCCTCTGGGAAGAGATCTTCTTCCCTTGGGAGGGCATACTGTGAGCAACAAACAAAGCTGGAGACTGGCGAAAAGACTTAGTCCTGCCCAAATAGAACAACAACGCTCTCTTAACATCCAGAGAATGCAATTTCCGTTCCTCTTCATTAGCAGGAGACGGGAAAAATGATGGCAGAACTACATCTGAACGTAAATGAA